CAGCAAGCTCCCCTAAGCCTGCTCCGGTGGAGAAAGAGCAGGCAGTAAGCTCCCTGAAGCCTGCTTTGGTGAAGAAAGAGCAGACAGCAAGCTCCCTGAAGCCTGCAGCGGAGAAACAGCAGACAGCAAGCTCCCCGAAGCCTGCTCCGGCGGAGAAACAGCAGACAGTAAGCTCCCCGAAGCCTGCTCCGGTGGAGAAACAGCAGATTATAAGCTTCCCAAAGCCTGTTCTGAAGTATACATATTCAAGGAGAGGCCTAAGAAACACTGCAGCTCCAACTGTAACTCCAACTCCAACTCTGGTGAAGAAACAGCAGAAAATAAGCACCCCAGATGGCCCTGTTTCGCATGCCTTCTCTCCAAGGGGAGTCCTAAATGGACCCACTTCAGCTCCAACTATAACTCCAAACCCAATGAAAAAACAGCGGGCATTAAGCACCCTAGACTCTGTTCTGAGGCAAGCACACCCTTCAGTTGGAGGAGTGAAGCGCACTAGATCTCCAGCTCAAGATAAAGCCCTGGTGAAGAAACAGAAGATAATAAGCGCCCCAAACTCTGTTGTGAGGCATGCACGCCCTTCAGTTGTAGTAGTGAGGCCCACTGGATCTCCAGCTCGAGCTAGAACCCCGGTGAAGAAATCGCAGATAATAAGTGCCCAAGACTCTGTTCCGAGGCATACTCGCCCTTCAGTCGGCGGCGAAAGAAGGCCCAGTACAGCTCCAGCTCCAGCTCCTGCTAGTGCTCTGGCAAGGAAACAGCCAACAATAAGCACCCCAGACTCTGTTATGAGGCATACAGATCCTTCAAGGAATGAAGATAGCAAGCCACTGCGAATGCATGTGGATCATAGCTTGAGTAGAACTGCCAAAGATGGTAGGCTGGAGAAGCCATCTTTCCAGGCAGCTCTAAACGCCGATCATGGCCACCATGTCGGCAGCAGACCTAAAGATGTAAATATGACAAGGGTCCCAAACTTGGTCGGACAGAAGAGAAGGATCCAGGAGACTGCTGGACAGCCTCCTGCTCCGGCTGATAGATGTGCTGGAGATGCTTCGAGGAGGCCGCAGCTTCCAAGTTTGATCGTCGCCCCGCCGTCCTGGAAGAAACAGAAGATCGATGTTTAAGTTACTTGTTCTGTAAAGACCCATTGGTACTGCTATTAAAGACAAGGTTTGCCTGTAGAGAACTAGAGATGTTGTGTTATTGTGGAAGTGAACAGTGATTAAGTATGGATGCCATGCGAATTGTGATTGTGAGCTCCAGGGAGGAATAGAGATGAAAGCAAGCTGCGGCAGAATGTTTGCCGCCAAGTTTTGTATGCTCGAAGGCGCTTGATTGTTCGCATCAGAAGGAAATAGAGATGGGAACCATGGTGGATGCTGTGCAGATTGATGTAGGCTTGAAAAATCTGTTGTCTAATTTAAGCCTAGGAAGCTGAGAGATGCAATCCTAAGTTGTTCTGTAAATTTAATGTTGTTCATGGAGGCAAAATCTGTTTGTCTAATTTAACCCAGGGGAAACCAAGAAGAATAGAGGCGGTAGCCGAGATTGCAGTGTAAATCTGATGTAATATATATAGAGAGAGAGATATATGCGAAGGCATTCATTCGTTTTTCTAATTTAGCCTAGGAAACAATTTTGTCTGTACAAACATGACTTATATATGTATATATATACCTTGTTAAAGTGTACATCTTTTGTTGTGGTGCAAACGTATGTTGTTGTCTGTTCTGGAGGTTATGTTTGTCTGTTCTCAGTTTTGCTTGTGTGTTTATCTGCACATTATATGTATGTGGAAACTATAGTGTGACTATAAGAATAATATCCCAGTTTGAGTTTATCCCCAGTAGACCATCTGTGTATTTTATTGCTACATTACCAAGAACAATATACATATGTCATATCAATACTTTTTTCATAACTATTTATATTCTGTCAGAAAAAATTAAACTCGCATAAATATAGATGTTGAGTTTGGTGTTTAAAAAATCATGTCAACGTGTAGTCTCTTCGTTTCTTTTTTACTTCTCATATTAGTATTGCCTTTAATCAAACTTATTATTAAAGTTTGATCAAGTTTATAGACAAAAAATGTCAACATTCACAATACCAATTCAATATCCTTATCCATCATGATTTTTTTTTCATATACCTCCATTCCAAATTAATTGTCTTAGATTTGTCTAGATATAAATGTAGACATGTTTATTTGTCCAGATAAAGATGTATCCATGTATTTAGACACTATAAACATGTCTAGAAATATGTAAGACAACTAATTTGGCATATTTGGTACCGGATGTTAAGTATATTTTTTAATATAAAATTTGGTAATTTTTACAAAGTTTGACTTGAAAAATGTTGTGAAAGGAGGCCACAGTTTCACCATTATGGAATAACGCGCTTCACCCCTCATCTTTTCAGCCTGCCCTCCCTCCGCCATGGCCTTTCTCCAATGCCTCTAGAGAAGTCAAGTTGGGAAAGTTGACACCTTCGATCATTGGTATGGTCACCATCTCGCCGTTGGTGGCCATCGGCATCGTCACCTCCCGTTCCCATCCTCTCCCAGACCTCCTATTAACCGTGTTGAGCGACACGCTTTGCCGAAATGCGCACCCCCGCTTTTGGGCCAGTCCATATGCATGGCGGGCCGCGCTTGTTTTTTACTTGTTTTTTCATCGTTTTGCTTTAACTTCGAAAAAATGTTCATGCATCACAATTTTTTTTAAAAAAAACAGGATTGCAAGAAGGAGATCCGAATTTCAAAAAATGATCCAAGTTTAAAAAAACATTGACTTCAAATTTTGATGAGCAATTTTTGAATTTGATATTCTTTGAATTTTACTAGAGAAATGCCCGTGCGTTGCAACGGGATATAAATATTATAATACGTTAGCTTTTGATTTACCTACCCATGATAATGTGATTGTTTCATCAACTTTTGCTCGTGGATTACCTTATATTTTTATTAGAAGTTTGGTAAGTAAATTAAGTTGATTGATTATCATACATGGAAAGTTGGACGAAGGGGTGGTGAAAATAAAAGTGAAATGAGAACCTTGCGTTCTTTTTAAGTAGTAGAGACAGAGATAAACATGTTTTAGGGTTTGATGAAGATTTTCTAATATATGATGAATCTTTTAAAATTTGGTGAATGCTTTTTGTATTTGATGAACACATTTTGAATTTTGATGAAAACATAATTGTATTCGTCAAACAAATTTTGAATTCGGTGAACATTCTATGAAATTGATAAACATTTTTTGATTTTTATGAAAAAAATGTTGGCGTATTTGAAAAAAGTTCATGAAATGAAAAAGGAAAAGAACAAAGAACCAAGAAAAAGACAAATTTAAAAATATAAAATGAAAAACCAAAAGTAAAAATTCAAAAACCGGTTCCTTCCCAAGACCGTTGTTGAGGAAACCTGAATTGGCCAGCCCTATAGCGTAGGGCGCTCGCGTGTCGCCTCCTCAGGGGTGCGTGTTTGATCTTTTATTTTCATTTTCACAAAATGTGCTTTACATTTTGATTTGAATTTTATATCGGGGGAGACAAATATTTTGTCTGCTTGCTCAATCTGTTTCTGTATTTTTTAAAATTTTCTAAACTAGAAGGGTTGGGCGCGCTTTTCTGCGCCGTCGATGTTGTTGAGTTTTCAGAATATTTTTTTACTCCCACTATTTCAAAATATAAGGTGTATTAGTTTATTAAAAAGTCAAACTTTGCATGTTTGACCAAAGAAATATGTACCCATAATATCAAATCGGTATAAGTAGATTCATCATGAAATGAATTTTCATATATATATTTTTTATTTAGTATTGTTGATGTCAAATTTTTTTGGCTCTAAAGTTGGTCAAAGTTATAGAAAATTAACTTAAAGGAAATTAATAGATGTTATATTTTGAAACCGAGGGAATAGTTAGTTTGGCGAGTAGGGGATATGATGGAGTGTGTTTTCTTCTTATTTTAATTGCGGTATTTTGATGGATCTTTCACGGTGTGATTCTGTGTTATCTGTTAATCAAGCCATACTTATGTGGAGATTTTTTCTGTGTCAGTGACTGCATGTACTATATTGATGCTACAGTGCAAGTGTTGGTGCTTCTTTTTTTTGTGGCGAGAGGGTGCGCTAGATTTATATGTTTTTATAGGTGAGTTGTTGTCAATTGATTTGGAAAATCGCTAACCCGATCAAAATCGTGAATCAAATTCAAAATTGAATACCTCAATCACAAGGAAAACCTCACTAATCAAGGAGCATAGTGAATTGAAAAGCATTGAATAAGAGATCTGCTTGAAAAATTATTGACACAATCAAAATCTGATGAGCAAATTCTAAATTGGAAACCTCTATTGAATGTGAGGCTTTTAAAATTAGGAAGAACTTATTAAGAAATTGTTGACCCGATCAAAATCGGATGAGCCAATCCAAATTGAAGACCTCAATTAATTATGAGATCTTAAAAATTAAAGAGCATAGTGTATTAAAGATGAAAGTACAACCATGAAGAGACTACATACATGGGTTCACCAAAGCCCCTGTGCAAAGGAAATGTTTTCTCCTCCTTCCCATGCGTGTTATTTTTTTGAAGATTTAATGCAATTCTTTTGAACATAAATATACAAACTTAAATTTGTCCACAAAAATCGACTAGCTACTACCACGCCAAGCGTTTCCTTATCTCCCCCGTAGATGGCTAAGGCAAACTCTTTTCCTCCAAGCTTCGCTAGCAAGCTTGTGAATTCACCTTCCTCTATGCCCGCCGCTCCAACAGTCAGGAGTGGAGAGGGGAATCCCTGGTCCTCCGCTCTGGCTAGTAGTTTAGATCAGAGTTTTTTAGTCTCAAAGGTGTGACGCTCGACGGACAGTGACACTTTGTAGGATCAAAAGTATGTCTAGAGGGGGGGGGGTGATTAGACTACTTGATCAAATAAAACCTAACATTTTCTAAATTATAGTTGTGGGTAGATTTTAGCAAATCTAACAAGTCAAGCATCACCCGTACACATGCAATTCTAAAAATATAGCAGCGGAAAGTAAAACATTGCAATGTAAGTAAGGGTGGGGGTTGGAGATTTCAAACACAATGAAGACACGATGATTTCTGGCGTGGTTTCAATAGGTGGTGGTATCGTACGTCCACGTTGATGGAGACTTCAACCCACCGAAGGTAACGGTTGCGCGAGTCCACGGAGGGCTCCACCTACGAAGGGTCCATAAAGAAGCAACCTTGTTTATTCCACCATGGCTTCCGTCCATGAAGGACTAGCCTCATTCGGGTAGATCTCCACGGAGTAGGTGATCTCCTTGCCCTTACAGACTCCTTGGTTCAACTCCACATGATCTTGGAGGCTCCCAAATGACACCTAACCAATCCAGGAGACACCACTCTCCAAAAGATAATGGATGGTGTGTTGTTGACGAACTCCTTGCTCTTGTGCTTCAAATGATAATATCCTCAACGCTCAATCTCTCTCTCATATATTTGGCTTGGGTAGGAGAAGGATTGGAGTGGGAAGCAACTTGAAGAGGCTAGAGATCAAGGTTGAAATGGTAGGAATGGAATCTCTTGTTATCAACATATGAGTAGGTGGTTCTCTCTCAGAAAACGAATGATGGAAGTAGTGGTTCGTTCTGATGGCTCTCTTACTAGGTAAGAGGAGGGTAGAGGAGTATATATAGCCTTCACCCAAAATCCAAGCTTACACACTTTTGACCCATCTCGGTAGCACCACTCATAAATCTCGGTGAGACCGATTTGTGTAAAAGATATGAACATTGGGCTTTTCGGTGGGACCAAACGGGAACACGTCGGTGGGACGAAGTGCAACGACTAGGGCAAAACCCAATCTCGGTAATTCCGATCTTTCAACTCGGTGATTCCGAAGTGAAGCAATGTCATTACAGAAACTTGGTCAAGCCATCTCGATGGGACCGAGATCCATTTTGGTCAAACCGCATTGCTAGGGTTTTGGCTGTGGCAATGGAATGATTATCTTGGTGGGTCCGGAGTAGGTGATATCGGTGGGACCGAAATGATGAATTAGGGTTTGGACATATGTGTTTTGGGAAAGTGACGGAGGGTTTTTGGAGCAATATCACTAAGCACTTTGAGCA